GGCGGAAGTTCCTTATTTCCTATATGACAGTACACAATTTAAAGCTTTTTAAAGTGGATTGTGTGGTTGTTTTGTGACTAAACCCTATTTGTTTTTTCATTTTATTGACTTCATTAGGCTTTTTTCTAATTAAAAATGCCACAAAGGTGTCTTGTTGTTGATTTTAGAAGGCGTTTCAACAAGGATGATGTCAGGTTGTTTTCAGTGCCCAACCTTTCAAATTTTTCCAATTAAAACGTAAAAATTATTCAGTACCACTGTTCCTGCATCTAAAATAAAGCCATACTCGGAATACTTGTAAGAATCTAAGCTTTTATAGGCCTTTCATTTGCTCATTTGCTGTAAAAACTAGGTAAAAATGTAAACAAATGTCAACTAGACATTTTTCCAAATTTATCGTTCGCCCACATCCCGATTCTCCTGCACTAAAGTCTTCGAATATTTACTCTGCATCTCAAAAAGTATATTATAACAAAATATACTGTAATTAGCTCGAAAATATTTCAAATAAACTCAAGATAAACAAACAAACGTCAAATTTTCCACGCTCGCCATATTGAAAAATCACACAAAATAGCAAGACAAGGCACAGCCCTAACCCTATTCTTATACGTAAAAAACTTTAAGGTAGTTTCACACTTGCACTATGATTAACGTAACGTCGTTCTAACTAAATACTAAAACTAAAGTAATAATAAAATATTTATATTGATATATGTTATTTATGTATCTCTTTTAACAGATCTAGCAACATTCTGCTCATAGCAACATATTTTGAGCATAATACCCAATAATCCAGGTAATCCAGATGATAACCTAACCTGGTTATGAGGCAAGAGGGAATTTTTCGCGCTGTAATGACTAAAAATATCGATATCAAGATACCGAGAGACCCAATCTTCATAAAAGAATGGCATCCTTTAGGTATATAAACATAATATGAACACCATCAAATAATAGCCCGAGCAATAGCCTATTTTTCGATGTAGTAATGCTTGGTATTAATGAACACCATGTGGCCATTGATGAAAAGTCGTCCTCAATAAACTAGTTTAAGCATAATACTCCAGTTATATTAGGCCGGAAAAAGCAGCATCTGCTGAAAAAATCCGAGTGAGTCTAAATTTTGTCTACACTGTGGCAGCTTAAAGGGGGTGTGCGCCAAAAAAACAACTTCATCTCAAAAAAAAGAGAAAAAAAAACTAAGAATAACAGTGAAATCCGCACCCCTCTATGACAAATAATACCGCAGATATGGCTCTATGAAGGTACCGCATCTAACCCTATGACGTCACGAAAGCTCAAGCGACGCACGAGAAAGTGGAGTTAATTAAATTTACATATGTTTCTCCTGTGTTACCTGCAATAATCTAAACAAAAACCACTCACACGTGCCGGGAACAATCAAATTAACAATGCGGAGCTCGGCTGGACGAAGTTTTCGTGACGTCACGAGAGCGTCCTCCACACTTTAAAGCGGTATATCTCAGCGATGGTTTATCGTAGAATAACGAGGTTTGAACAGTTATTCTTAGATTCTTTTACACTAAAACTTTAATTTTTGGCGCACACCCCCTTTAATAGTCGGTATTTATCTTTTGGTTAATCCAGCGATAATCTCGGGCGCCACACTCAAGATTATAGTGGGTGAGGGCCCACTACCATCAGGTAGCTTGTTACAGTGGAGAAAGAAAAACCAGGGACCAATGTGCAGATAAAGGAATAAAACAACTATCGAAGAAATATGCCCTAGGTTCAGCACTAGTCCCCGAAAGCTTCTAGCGACAAATTCAGAATCGCGTGTCTCAGCAGGGTAGAAAGTATAACTGATCTATGTCCGTACGTTCAACCAGGACATAAGGATTGCGGTTATCCCGCTGGACTTGTCTGTACAGCCGAGACTTGTCCTGATCAGTCTACCCACTACCCAACTCTTTTCGGTACGGGGCGCGGTATTTCGGAGCTAGAACTGAGCGGTACAAATGTTAATGTTAACACCAAATACATTATGGGCCGATGCTTAATGTAACATTTGTACATCGTGGAAGAGGGGACAGATTACGAGAATGAAAATTGCACATTTTACATCTAAAAGTCACAACAAGAAAGATCATGGATTAGGCCTACAGTAAAAATACCATGTAAAAAAAACGCGCCTTGCATCTCACCTCTGGGGTGGTGTGGAAACAGGTGCTACCCTCTGTTTTTCTGGCGTATCTGGTGGAAACGGTTGGTACCTATGACGTCAAATATGTGAATACCATTTTTTGAAGAGAATTTCCCAATGTTTTCAGCCAAAATAGTCGTAGTCGATATACCGAAAGTAAAATATTTAAGAAAAACTCATTTCTGTGATATTTGACCTTGAATATCTTGGAACGCAAAATCGGTGGGGACTTTTAATACATTAATTATTGAGGTAAAATAAATGTGTCGACAAAATTTAGGCTTACTCGGATTTTTTCAGTAGATGAATCCTTGTATGACTGTACTACACTATGGCAACACAACACAAATAAAAAAGAAACCAAACAGAAAAAACAGTCAATATTTTATTTTTCCAAAATGTCACTTGTCACCATAAACTAAACCACTTTTCACCGTTAAAGATACCATGACGTCATTGTATGATCATACCTAGTAAGTTGTGGTTACTTCGCAAAAAAAATCCCTAAGGTTGCTTGGGAGAAATATAGGTTGTCTGATAACTTTATGACGTCATCTGGGGTGCCTCAACATAATACAAATTTCCATAAGGCATCCCAGATACGTCATCAAGTTACTCGTTACCAGACAACCTATAAACTTTATGGTGATGAGGTATCTATGTTGACAGTTGACAGCTATCAAGCGATCAAATAGTACCTATGTATTCATCTTAAGCGCATATTCTAGATTTCCAGGTGGATATCGGATCTCTGAGTGGGAGTTGATTCTTGGCCTTAAGTTAATAGACTCTCCGGTAATTGAAAATCGATGACGTCATCTGGAGTGCCTCATGAAGATTTGCGTTATTTTTGCACATCCCAGATGACGCCATAAAAGTTATCAGACCTCTTTCAAACAACCTTGATTTTTGGCTACCTTATTAGATTTGGTTCTCTGAGTGAGGGTACCTATCTTGATCCCGGCGGTGGTGAGTATTGAAAATCCCTGATCAAGGGTTTGGTTGCTTCATTCATACATTAGAGTCAAGAAAAGGTCTAGATTGAAAAATACAGGGGATACAAAAAGAATGTGGAACTAGAATTTGATTGACATGAACCAAATTGTACACTTCTCTGTTAATAAGTAGAGAATTCTGGATTTGGTGTCTATAATTTCATGCTCTTTTAAAACCAAAAACTTAAACCTAGATTATTAGCTTGAAGTGGCCCACTGTCCAATGTACGGTATTTTATCTAAAACAACAAAAAATCTTGAATTTACATGAGACGGCATCCTCTCAAAACATCATCATAAAACTTTATTTGGTTTGTATAATATCAATAAGCGGTTCTAAAATACACATATGGGCTTATACAGGTTTCCGCCCACGGTTCGAAAATGTTTTTTTTTTTTTGAGGACACACCGTTTCCTATGGACAATTTGCATTTCAGAATAAATATTGGACAAAGAATATAAAGTTGAATCTAATTAGTTTGGAGATGATTTATCGCCGCTTTAAGATCGAGAGATTTAAAACGACAGTTTATAACATGAAAATACATATTTACTCTCTGGACCAATTTGTAGCCCGATCTTCAGCTGTCAAAAAACGTTTATTTATTGCTTCTATTTTCGTTTTATATCGATGCATTTTAAAAGCGCTTTCTTGGCTAGGATCGTTGAGCGTTTAAAAGCGCTAAACGTTGAAATGTGTCTTCATAAATTTCACAAGAAGTAGGAAAACCTGTAAATATTTTTACATTTTGGGATTTTGTGTGGTTTTATTTGCCGTTTGAAAGGAAGCGACTATTCCAATATAAGTTTTTTTTGTGTAAATGCTAAGCATGATACTTTGGTGCCGGTGTGTGATTACCTACAAGACATTGGCAATTAGTTTTTGAAATTTAAAACACAAATTACCCGTACCTCTCTATATGAAATATTGCTACTTTTATATGCGTAGACGTTAAATGGAGGTACTCAAATAAAAACTTATTTGCATAGAAAACCAATTTTGCCAGGTCGGTAATTGGTATTTGGACAATTAAGCGAAAAAAGTAAGTATATGTATTGTCAATTTAATTAAAATGTTATTGGTATGAGAAAGTTTTTTAATTAACCAATCAGTTGATTGAATGTGATCTAATAGGTTCAAAGCTGGATTAGATGAAGTCTATATTGAAAATGATGTAGAAAGTTTTCCATTTCCAAAAATTTGATCTTCTACGTCTATATCACTGGGCTTTTTCTATAGCTGAAGATAATGATTTACCTGTTATGTAACTCCATGGTACTGTACCAACTAGTATTAGCAGAACATTGGCTTGACTATAAAATGTTACCTGTCTGTTAGGAGTTTAATAATAGTGACAGTAGTCAGACACATTGTCATAGTTATAGAAACGTTTTAACACATTTTAAGTTCTTCAATTTAATAAAGCAAGTCCTGTTTAACTAAACCTATAATTATTATTATCCCTTCATTTTGAAGACACAAACACAACATGGTGTCAGTTGTCTAAGTGCTGAAAGTGTTCAAGAATAGGAAGGAATAACATATATAGACAGTGGAGAGTATTCGCAGTATCGCTGAAGAAGGTTAAAACATTCATACCCAATATGTCTCGAACTTCTAATCCCAACAGAAACCCTGTTTGTCATCATTATCACTAGAGGGTAATTTATCCAATAACTGGGTAAGTTGGCTGCAACATTTTAAGATTTATATGAGAGCAAGTGGTCTAGAAAACGAAGATGATAGCAGAAAGGTTGCTATATTTTTGCACTACATTGGACCTGAGGCTCTCTCTATTTTTAATTCTTTCAATCTAAATATGGATGTGCATATAAGGATTTAGTTGATCGGTTTGAAGCGCATTGCAAACCAAAAACAAACCTAACAGTTGAAAGACACAATTTTTCAACAAGACGTCAGAATCCTGATGAATCAATCGACAAATCTATGACAGCACTCAAAAACCTGAGCTTCAAATGTGAACTAGATAAACTGCGAGAAAGCCTTGTCAGGGATATTTTTGTTGTTGGTTTAGGTGCCAATAATCGAATAATAAAGGAAAGATTTTTACAAGAGGATAATCTAGATTTAGACAGGGCCATTAAAATTGCCAAAAGCATTGAAATAAACTCATATTCAAGTCCAGGACATGGATATGGTCAAAATCATAATGAAGAGTCGTTCCAAAACCAATGGGTCAGAGGTAACAATTACTCATCACAACAGGTGAGTCAAAGTTCATGTAAAAAGTGTGGTCAAATTCACAGACATAAATGTCCAGCATAAGATGTTATATGCAATAATTCTCAGCGTAAAGGACATTTTGCCAAGTATTGTTTCAAGAAAAAATATAAGATATGTTAATGTAGAAAATGCTAACAATCAAAACCATGGCCAAGACAATGATAATGATATGTTTGTGGTAAGAGTAATAAATAAAGACAGTCAGTGTCAAAATTCTAAGAAAGCATGGATGTTAGATTTAAAAATTAATAATTCACTTTTAAAATGTTATTTAGATACAGGTGCAGAAGCCAATGTAATGTCTTTTGAAAAATTTAAAAAAATAAATATTAATGAAGATATTGTTCCTACCAATGTAAAGCTAACGTCATTTTCAGCCAATGCAATACCAATTGCAATGCAATATTAATTGTATTATTAATGGTGAGCATGTCAAAGTCGAGTTTGTCATAGCAGAGATGGAGTGTCAGACAATAATAGGCCTTCCCACATGTCAGGAATTAGATCTTGTCAAAAGAGTTTTTTTCTATAAATCATAACAATATACTTGATGATTATTCAGATGTCTTCAATGGATTAGGTTGTTTGCCTATTGAATGTCACATAACTGTCGATCCTAATATTCGTCCTGTAGTAGATGCACCACGAAAAATTCCTTTTTCTTTGAATAATAGATTGAAAAGTGAGTTAGACAGAATGATTTTCCTGAATGTAATCAGTAAAGTCGATGAGCCTAGTGAATGGGTAAATTCACTAGTTATAGTGGAGAAGAAAAATAAGTCTTTAGTAGTAGAGTAACCTTTGTGTGTTTGGATCACCCTTTGGCAGATTCAAATTTTTACGCCTTCCTTATGGAGTTTCTTGCGCCCCGGAAATTTTTCATAAAATAATGTCTAATTTTTTTTGTGGTATTCTAGGAGTTCTGATTTACATGGATGATATTTTAGTCTATAGTGATACTATTAGTAGTCATAATGATATTTTAAAGAAAATCTTCGAAAAGGCTAGAGAAGTCAATTTAAAATTCAATGTGAAGAAATGTAATTTCTCATTGAAGGAAGTTCAGTATTTGGGCCATATTTTTAGTTCTTCAGGTATGTGTCCTGATCCTAAAAAAATCAGTGCTATTTGTCATTTAGAAAGTCCTAAAAATGTGTCAGAGTTGAAACGGTTTTCAGGTATGGTGAATTATCTTTGTTAATATATTCAAAATTTAGCAAATAAAACTAATAATTTGCGACTTATTCTTCTTAAGAAAAACACTTCATTTTACTGGGATGCTGTGCATCAGACTGAATTTGATTTTCTCAAGAGAATTATTAGTCAAAAACCTGTCTTAATCTATTTTAATACAAGTATTCAATTAACTTTATCTGTCAATAGTTCGAAATTTGCAGTAGGAGCTGTCATTTTACATAATAAAAGGCCCATTGCTTATTCGTCAAAGTGTTTAACAGAATGCCAATCCAGATATGCTCAAATAGAAAAGGAGTTATGTAAAATTCAGTTTGGTTGTACAAAATTTCGCCAGTATATTTATGGACGCACAGTTAATGTTGAAACAGATCATAAACCATTAGTCACATTATTCAAAAAACCTCTTTCAGAAGTCCCCACTCGTCTTCTAAGAATGATGCTAAATTTACAGCAGTATGATCTCAATGTATCTTATGTTCCAGGAAAACTTCTATACATTGCCGATACTTTAAGTAGAGCCCCTGTAGAGCCACCAGATGAAGATGATTCTATGGAAGAGGAGCCAGTAGCGCACCCAGGTTTTTTTATTTGGGGAGGATTTTCATAATGATGAAGGCTCGCCGCAGGCAGCCTTCAAAAAATAACATTTTGTAAGTGATTTCCATCGAAAAACAATTAAAACAAACGCTCGTAACAAAATAGCTGCGCGAAAAAAGCTATTGTCACCCCCACTGTTTTTATAATCATGTGGAGTGTTGCCAACTCTGAACCAAGACTGTCGACTGTCCACTAGAAAAGAGATTTAAATCCACTAAAATCCACTAGGAGATAAAAAATGACGCCGCAGGCGAAATTTTTTTGGACTAGTGGAAAATCTACTAAATTTTTACCAATCTTTTTTATTGTTTAATAATTCTAAAAAATATGGATACTCAACGCCATCTAGGTGTCATCTACCATGTTGTGTTGTGTTAGTTCCTTTTCTTTATTTCTTAGATTATGTTACAGCAGCATGTTTATAAAAGCATAAAAGCCAGTGACAATCTTGACAGTTGACATTATTGACATACCTACGATATGACAAGCCCAAGGATGATATACACACTACTAAGGATGGCCTATCCTTATAATGCCTGTGTGTAACAAATCCCCCCCTTCCCCCCCACGCTAAAATACCAGTTTTGACGTAGGCAGCATCTTATTTCTCGCCTTGACGTAGGCTGTTTAAATGGCTGACGACTTAGTTATGACGTCGGAAATGGTATCACACCAATATGACTGCAATTACCAAAAACGAGGCCGATAAGCACTCCTTAGAGTGTGTATTCTCTTTGTGACGAGCCCACAAAAAAAAGGCAAATATGATACACACTAAATCTATGCACACTACTACTACAGGATGGCCTATTCTTATAAGGTCTGTATGTAACAAATTCCCCGTCGCCAAATCACCAGTTGTGAAGTAGGCAGCATTGTTATTTCTCACCTTGACGTAAGCTGCCTAAACAGCTGACAACTTAGTTATGACGTCAGAAATGATGACACACCAATATGGCGGCGATTACCAAAAAAGAGGCCGATAAGCAATCCTGTAGGTGTGTATCATCGAGGTGTGTATCATTATCATCCTTGAATATATGCTGCCTTCTGTAAATTAACAGGAATTCTATACAAATACGTTATTTCGAAATTTTAAAAAGAAGTATCGGGAACTAATGGAAGCGAAGTAACACTAAAAATCATTAAGTTAAAAATTCACTAGAAACCGTGGATCCCATTCCCATTCTCATTAAAATTACCACTATAGTGGAATTTGCTAAAACCATTCCACTAGACGACTTTCAAATCCACGAGAACTAGTGAAAATTCTACCGAGTTGACAACACTGAATCATGTGTATTTAAAAGAAAGAGAGTTTCCCACATGGTTGCAAACATTCTAATTTCCTTCTCCACCGATCCAATGAATTTGTTCACGAATATTGCTGATCATTCGCAATGCAATTGTTTTGCGCGTTTAGTGGAAATGCACCTTTACATGACCGCGAATGGCAGCAGATATCCAGTTAAGTTCTCCAACATTTTGTAGAGGGCGCGAGTGAACTTGGAGTGCTTCAAATTTTGGCGGTAAATGTCAATAGTTTTAAACCGTTTAAATTGAGTAGAAGGAAAAATGACTACAATATGAACAATGGACAATGACTAAGTTAAAATATCTTCCAAAGCATTCAGTGGCCCTTAGAGAATATTTTCAAAAGTGTCAGCGTCAGCTTGTTTTGAAACCACACATCAGACTTAACTTTTGAGGTTAAAATTACAATTAATTATTTACGCGCCAAAATTTGAATACCTCCAAGTACAGAAGCGCCCTTTTCAACTCAACTGTCAATATTACATGCCATTGCGATGTACGATGACGATGCCGGGCCTGGTTCCCAGATTTTCATGTTCTTGGTTTCGTTTCCAGATTTCAGTAATTTCGCGTAACTTAAATAAGATATTTTTTAATGTTAAATGGAAAATTTTTAGGTACAGTCGTGAGCACAAAAAGTGGGACATCCGACTGACAGGTTTTGTCATTTTTCGCTATTTCGCGAAGGTATAGCTAATGAGCCCGTTTTACAATAGGAAAAAACAAGTGTCCCACTTTTTGTGCTCACGACTGTACCTACCTATTAACCAAAATCGCAAAAAATAATATTTGCAAACCATTATACAGTATTGTCAGGATTCCTGGCCAATTTCGAAGAACAATGTTGAATCTTCGGTTGAGCCCTATTTTAACTATAGGCATGTGTTACATACAATTGATGGTTTAGTTTTAAAAAAAAATCTTTTTGTCATTCCTACAGAAATGCGTAGCCAAATTTTAGACATAATCCATGAGGGACATTTAGGAATAGATAGGTGTTTAAAACAGGCACGTGTAGTTGTGTTTTGGCCTAATATCACAGTTGATATTAAGAATAGAGTAGAACAGTGCACATCATGCTTAAAGTTTCGTAATTCCAATTCATCAGAGCCTTTGCTACCACATCAGCCTGCAACTTTGCCATGGAAAAAGGTCGGAATAGATTTCTTCTTTTATATTAAAGTCACGTATTTCTTAGTTGTTGATTATTTTTCTAACTATTTTGAAGTAACATCGGTTAGTTCTATCAATGCCAGTCAAGTAATTACAAGTCTGAAGTCAATATTTGCTCGTCATGGCATCCCATCCATAATAGTATCTGATAATGGTCCTCCATTTAACTCGCAAGAATTAAGAACTTTATCCAGTCATGGAATATAAGTCACCATACGTCTAGTCCTAATTATCCCAAAAGTAATGGTTTAGTGGAAAGAACTGTTGCTACTGTGAATAGTTTGTTTAACAAATGTCGTGAGTCAAATACTGATCCATATATTGCTATACTCCAGTACAGAAACACGGCCCAAGCTAGCGGATACTCTCCTGTTCAGCTTTTGATGTCGCGTTATTTGAGAATGAAGTTACCAGTAACAGAAAGCGTTCTTAAGCCAAAAGTTATTGATTATGTTCATTACAATAATTTTGTTAGAGAGAAGGTGAATAAGATGAAAAATTATCATGATCAACATGCCAGAAATTTTGTCAGATATAAATGTAGGAGACAATGTCATGTATAAAAAGACTGCCAACTCATCTTGGGAACCTGCTTTGGTCACTAAAAAAGGTCCAATGCCAAGGTCTTTTGTAGTTCGCACTCCGGATGGTGTAGATTACCGAAGAAATAGGCATCATTTATTAATAAAAAAATTCGAACCCAATACATCTGCTCCTTCTACGACAATTGAAGATCATCCTAGATCCACTACAAGTAGGTACTTTATCACACTCGCCGAATTTAAATTGCTCTATTGCTGACACGACATCTCAAAAAGCACAGACGACTAGAATATTTACTCGTAGTAGCAGGCTAGTGAAAAAAACGGTTTGATACCTACTGACGATAGTTGAAATTTTTCATTAATTCATTTATAAAATTATTTCTTCTCTAATAAAAAAAGGAACATGTTGTATAACTCCATGGTACTGTACCAACTAGTATTAGCAGAACATTGCCTTGACTATAAAATGTTACCTGTCTGTCAGGAGTTTAATAATAGTGACAGTAGTCAGACACATTGTCATAGTTATAGAAACGTTTTAACACATTTTAAGTTCTTCAATTTAATCAAGCAAGTCCTGTTT